TAGATATGAACTCATTTCCTATGAAGCCAGCAATCTACTATTGTTGATAGCTGTTTACCAGTTCTATGAGTCAGATATTTGCCACTGGCAAAGGTCCCTCTAAAACCATCTGAGTATTTTCTAAACTGTGTACATAGTGTTTTCCTTAAATAAAATGTTGAAAAAAGAATGTATTCTTTTCTTGACTCTTAGTAAATTATTTTTCACAAAACTTTGTGCTTGGGAATAATATTTAATGCATTTATTTTTAAAGGCGTATTTCCTGGCTCTATTTAGTAAAAGGGAGTAAGACACTAGGTTTAGCAAGTATTTATTTAGATAACATAGATACTCTGAGAGATGTTTTTATGTCAATATTTAAATAGCATTTCAAAACTAGAAGTAAAATTAAGGTTCCTTTATTTAGACTAAACACATTGTGATGAATTTAGTATCCTCCAAGATGAACATAATGCCAAAAGAAAAGATAAACAGATACAAAAAGAGAAACAGTTGTGGATTCTGTCAAATTGAACTTCAGTTCACTGGTTTTACATTTTCCTTTTCCAATATCCCAGTTCCAATTTACAAGCAGAGTTTTTAAGCTGGTTATGCAGATCACTTGTTAAACAAGGAAAGAATAGTCATTTATCTGGCCTACATTCTGTGGAAAGTGTTGCCACTAAAAAGAATCCAGGACATTTTTCCTTCTTATCTGGAATGTAGCTCATATCAGCCAACCTGTCACCAGATAGTACTTGATATAAACAAGAGATTGCTAAGACATCTCAGTAATCAATATCAGGATAGCTACAGTATGGAAACCCCAACCAGTGCATATCATTTGTCTCAGTATCTATTTCTATGGCCAAATGAAGCATTAATTCAAATCATAAATCTATGGTGATTTAAATCTGGGAATGAGCACCTGCCTGCTTTAATGATTTATTTTGTACATTTCAGTAAGCAGGAGATTTGTCCATATGAACTGACAGGTCACCTTCAGATGCCAGGAGCAGACTGTTTATCACCATGCAGACTAGCATCTCATCTTAGCAAGTAAATATTAAACTAAAAGAATCCAATTGATTGTGGATAAGGGAGAACAGTGATGTGGCCATATATTTTACTCAACAAGCTGATGCCTCACTCAAATCTATCCTGTGTTCCTCAACTATTCCTACAGTCATCATCCTTTTAGAAACACGTGGGCTCAAGGTTAATAATCTAAAATTGGAATGCAAAATAATTATTTGTCAACATCAGAGATTTCTAAACTGTGTTTTTTGTTTCCTGGCTAATTTTTAAGATTCATTATGAACCAGTGGAAGCCATCTTTCACAGGATTATCCAGTCACCTCATCCAGCCAAATCCAGCCAATTCAAGCTGAAACAGAATCTATTTTCTTGGACTATTGGGATTTATTTATAACTAGGGAATTGAACACATGCACCCATAAAGACAATTCTAAAATGTATGCCTAAACGTATGAGTGTAGTGAATGGAAGTCATACGGAACTAGAAATGTTGCTGGGTGTGGGCAAGACTAAGTAGAAACAAAACATAAAGCCTAAGGGTCACCTCTGTGAAAGGTGTCACTCTGGCAAGAGCTAACTTGTAGTCAGATTCACAAAAGTAGTGAGTTTGAATCCTGAAGCACAGGCTTGAGAGTCTTGGGATTCCTTCTAGAATTCAAATTCAGTTCCTCTTCCTAGCCACTTCACCATGACTTCCAGAGCACAACACATGTCCTATTGCTGCTGTAGGCCAGTGTTTCCCATGAATACTTGTGTGGCCCTTTCACATTAGCTGTGTATTAGATCACTTTTGTGTTTTTACACCAAGCAGAACTCAAAAGTTTAAAGAAGTACAATCTAAGATGTTTCTAAGTTTTCTCATGGCTCTATGATTTCAGAAGTTAACACCCAAGACAAGAGGAATGCAAAGGGGGAAGCTGCTGCTGATGGCAGTAAAAACAGATAGAAGGTCACTTTGAACAGGGCAATCTGAGAAAACTGTATTAGCAGAAGTAATACCAAACTTCAAGTAAACAATGTGAGAAGCAGACATAATGAATGGTGTACTAAACACTAGGCACACATAGTTTAATTATCACACTGTGGCATTTCCCAGTTGTCTTGAACTGTTAAGCTCAGAAAGTCCACGTAACTTTTCAAAGTCATAATCAAATTGCTATTGAGCACTTAAAAGAGGCAGGAATTGTCTTCAGAGAAGCCTGGAGCCACAAAAACTGCTCAGTTCAGCAACTTCTTTGATCTATGCAGTTTGGTCTGACCTTCACTGGGTTCCTTTCCCCTTTATAGCCACTCTCCTCTAACATAATACTCATTTTCTATGATTTCTAAATAAATATCCAAGAATAGGAGTTTTGATGAAAGACAATAGGAATTACAAATTCTTAGACAATTGCAGTTTGTTAAGAATGGAATTAAAATGACAACAGAAGCACTCCCCAAATCAGCTAGAGAGGCCCCAAATATAAATGACGTGTGTTCCTTTGCATCTAACACTCCACTGATGGAAACATGTCTCTAAGAAGACACACATGTTTCTCTTAGTTCAAATGGATTTAAGATGACTCATACAATGCTATAACACTATAGTGAGCTATCAAGTAAGAGGAAATGCCATTTTCCCAACTCAAATATAATGGGGTATTCAAATTGTTTATATTTTAAGACATGGTAATAGCCTAAGTACCTAAATAATTAAAGGGAGCTGTAATTCGGTCACTAGGTAAACGTTATTACATACTAAAAATATGAAATGCGTGTTAATGCTTAATTGTGAGTCATTTGCTTCTTCACTTCTGCCTATGGGTTTCTAAAAAGCTAACTGCTGCTTGCCTGCTCAGGAGAATTAAAGAGATGGTTTACTTTGAATAGGTCCCTTTAAAATGTATTACACTGTCTGCCTTAATCACTACTTTAAGCATCTTCTATGAGCAATGACCTGCATTGTAAGTCTACTCTGAAAATTTAAAAATAAGCAAGGTGTCATGTGGAATAGTAACTATAACTAGTGAGTAGCTATTTTTTTTCTTATGGGAGTGGACATGAACAGTCTTTCACTACACAAAATTATGCTGTTAAACATTTCCATCATTTGTAAATACTACAGAGATCAGCATGTCTTGAATTTCATGGATTAGCCCTGCCTTGGAAAACCATCTTTAAAGATCTTGGTCTCTCACTGCCAAAAAAGCACTGATAACTTATTTTTATAGTGCTTCAAGTCGGCCTATCTCATTAGCCAAAGCAAAGGAATATTATTTTAAGCCCTTCTGCACTTAAAAGTTCTAAAAGGGAGGGCATTATAATTTTTCATTTTGCTTCAGTATCAGTATGACAGAAAGTCTAAAATGGGTTGTACCAACCATAAACTAAGTATTCTCGGATTTCTCAGCCTTCTCTGTAGGACCTCAATCAGTGCAAGTGCTGGTATATGTGTGAGCTGGTTTGTTGCAGCATCCTCTCTTCAGTTGGTCCTCCCTATTTTCACTGTTCTGAGAATAGCCACCGGTAGCTATTCTCAATTCGGTTCTCCTTATGTGGTCCTGCTGAATGATTCTATTTTTCCCACTTGAATGTCAGAAGTTGCCTTTTACTTTCATGTTTGAAGAGCTATTTTGTGTTTGTACATATGTTTCAAGTCACTTACTACCCTAGCATTACTTTATTGTATGTACTAATGAATATCTGCCATGAAATAGCATGCATAATGCTTTATCATATGCCTATAAATATGTACTAATGAGTAGAAAGCAGAGAGCTATTGATTAACTTTAGAAATGATGTTAAAATGCTACATGAAAAAGAGAAATTGATTGAATTGTGATGAACTTCCATGTTCATTCTAAGCTTTGTTAGATAGGATAACATGTATGTGTCCTTACAGAATGCTATTTTCTCTTCTTCAGTTATATTTTGAGTATAAATTCTGTACTCTTAAGAAAAGTATTAGAGTACAGTAGCTGAATTAAATGCTTTGCCACATCAATACCCCAATAACAAATATTTCATTGTTTAAAAAAATAATATACATTTAAAGCTGCATTCACAAGCCAAGTGGTTTGTCTGCTAAGGTAAAGGAGTTTCATCGGGTTTCACTGTGAGTTAACATAAGGAAACCAGATGATCATGAGAAGTTAATGTTGTTCTCTTCAAATGGAAGAAGTCTTCTTAATGGTTGTGGATAGAAGGAATTACCAAATAACAATACCTATTTCTGGCAACATAGCAAAGGTCTCAGTTTCCATCCCCCATCCACAGTTTAACTTTGTGTAGTTTTTTTCCTGTGGTAAACAGAGTTCTGAACTGATATTTTTAAGGAATCATTTAATACTTTTACATAATGCATAAATTGCCTTGGATCAATGATACTATATGCCAGAGAAGTAGAAGATTTAAGTAACTCTTAGTACAGCATATTTTGAAATTTTTATTTATGTTATCACCTGTTGTTTATACTCTTAAAATGCCCACCTGTAAAATAAATTGCATTATATGTATAAATATAGTGAAGCAGATATGTTATTCTTTATTATCCATGATTTCAGACAAGGGACACAAAATGTAGCCTGTATAAATGAGAGAAAGCTAACGAATAAAGCTGTTGTTGATGGTAATGAATGTCTTTCTTTATAATGAAAACATAAAAATGATTTTTAAATGACAGGTAGGATTGGACACACACACATTTCTAATTACCTACACGCAAAATTTTATAATTTTATTCTTAAAATTTATTTTAAGTTATATATTAATTCATTATTGTAGCATATTCTGAGCTGTAAAATTGATCCTATATTTAAAAATCATACCTTTATCAGTTCCTTTGTGTACATATGAGACAGGCAAAATGAAGACTTAAAAATATGCTCCTCTTTTGATCTCAAAGCACTCAGTTCTTCAAAGTGTAGTCAGTAGTTTTATCCTAAAGTAGAAAATACCTCTTTGGAAAGGTGAATGTGAATAGTGACAGTGAACATAAAACTTACCAACACTTGAATTCATGTCCCCGTTTTCAGAATCTGCTCCATGTTGGTTGTTACTGGCATGATAGTTGCTCATAGCTTCTAATTTGATTTTTTTCACCTTCATTGCTTCAGCAATAGCTGCATTGGTAGCAGCTGCAGCGGCTGCAGCAGCTGCAGTCAGACCTTTAAAAAATAAACAAAAAGAAAACGTAATTCAAATTCAGAGTTTTTGTATGATAGTCCACATCTTTCGACATACAAACATGTACACACAAACATATATCTGATTCCTTTATGTTATACCGATAATATAATTCCATTCCAAACCAGCTCATTCAGCACTGACACAAGACTCCAAATTCTTATCAAACTCTCTACTTCAATATTAGCAGAAGCATAACTCCCATATTTCATAGCAGTGGATATGTGGATAGAATGAACTTTTGAGGACACACAGTCTGAACATCTCACTCCCTGCTGAACAGACTCTGCAGGTGCCCAGAAGCAGTTAGAAAGTCAGAACTCAGATTAACTACAAGGCCTACTTCCAGCACCCAAAGTATCCTTCTTTCAGGTGGCACTCCACTCTCAAGCTTTGATGAGTACGCCACCGTTTCTCACACATGCTTTGCAGCATCAGCCCTCTGCTTTCATGCCTGACTCACTTTCATGACTGCCCATCTTCTAGTGAAATTCTACACACATTTTGGAGTCTTAATCCCTGTCTTCCCTGGGTTGGCAAGATCTACGCACACATATCTGTTAGTTACATGAACACTGCACTGTACGTTTCTGCCTGTGCATGTCTTTTCCTTGGGAGTTGGTGAGCTATGAAGTGACAGAGGCCATCACCAGTGGACAGCTAAGTAGCTGCAGGGTTCAAGATTTGTAAGTCTAAATGCAACTTGGCATGCCAGGACTGGCTGGTATACACAGGAGGCCTGCCCTTCTCTGAAGAGAAAGGAGGAGGAGTGGAAGTAAATAGAGGTGGGGTACCGGGGGGGGGGGGAACTGGGAGGAGAAGAGGGAGGGTGGAGGAAAAATTTGAGTAGATTGGGCAAAAAAAATAAATAATAAAAATATAAAGATAGTTCAGCAAATTTGTTTCCTTATTAAGCCTCTAAGTACCGATTCCAGTGATGGAAGAGTGATCTGATCACCCTAGTAACCCCATATTATTGATCAGTATCAACTCTGCTTTAAAGATTATGGAAAATAACACAAGTTCTAAACTTCCATATTTAGGCCCCAAATGGCCACTGTCCAGGCTTTATTTTACACAGCCTGGTCATTCATGGATAATAATGGGCGTGCAGATAATAATAGGCATGGTAAAAAAAAAAAATGGAAATTTAGCCCCACTTTTGAAAATCAGAAAGCAAAAGCCATGGATGTGAAATGGTATAGGTAGCAGGAAGAGGATTTTGAATATAAAATTTATTATCTTCTCAATACGTCAGTTTTTACCATTCTAACCTGGCTGTCCAATCTGCAAAGAGATACACACCATGGGGAAAACGAATGTCTGCTAATTCTTCATCTTTAACAATCTATGAAAGGAGAGCGTGTCTTTCCCTGCACCCATCTTCTTTTCACACAGCTGCTTGAGAGATTCTGAGCACTATGTTTCAGCCTTCTGAATTTAGCTGTGTGATTTATTTCCACTCCCAGTTGGTAGAGGGAATGAACACCCCTCTTTTTTTTCTTTCCTCCTCACTAATCATTACTCCTTGTTACCACAGGAGAAAGCTGCAGCCCATAGAATTACATGGAAGTCTTGGTAGAAACCTTTGCTATGTAATCAGTGCTTAGAAGACACCACCTTCTCTTCAGATCAGTGCAAAGAGGCCTTGACCACATTCACCCTGATGCAATAAGATCTGCAGATCACATCTTTCCTGGAGAAACTCATAACTACTCCTTAAAAGGCATTGATCTAAATTCAAAGAATCCATCTGGGTTTAGCACAAGCATTCGTTGCCTTTTAAGTCTCAACTTGAACAGATTCTCTCATCTTCCTATGATTGAATTTTCTCCTCAATTACTCATTTCCTTCAAAGATGTTTCAGAACATTTTCTTTCCTGTTCTCTTTAAATCCTCTTTGTGATTCCCAGAAAAAGTTTTATTTTTCCCTTGATGTTTGCCTTGTCACCAATATGAACATCTTATTTATCCCTTTCCTCTATTTCCTGGTGTTGACTTGTCTCTAATTTATGTCTCTTCTCAGCTTGGCTTCATGTCACAGAAAGATCAAGTAATTGTATTCAAAATATGAATGCTTACGACACAACTGCATATTGGCCTACAAATTCCAAATATAACACAATACAGACTTGTTCAGGATCTGGTCTCAGGAAAACCAATGGATCTTTTTGAGAATAGTTTCTCCTACAAAACCATTCTGAGCCCAAAGAGGAAACATAATTATCAAGTAAGAACTCTCTAGAAAAATAACACATTATATTCGGTACTGCCTGTTGTTCATCTTTATTCTTATGCAAGCAAAATCCAAGTGTTAGCTTTCTTTAGGAAAATTTCTTTACCTATTCCCTTACTCTAGATTATTTATATTTAGCTTTTTAACATTTTTTTTAAATTTTTTCTCATTTTAGTTACCAATCCCAGTTCCCACTACCTCATGTCCTCCTACTCTCCCCAACCCTTCACTCACTATCCATTCCTCAGAGAGGATAAGTCTTCCCATAGAAAGTCAACAAAGTCTGGCACACCTCTCTGAGGCAGGACCAAGGTCCCCTTCCTATATCTACCCTGAGCAAGGTATCCTTCCAAAGAAAATGGGCTATAAAAAACAAAACTATCTGATTGCAGGGGAAGGCCAGTTTAGGTATCCTCTCCACTAATACTTAGTGTCTTAGTTGGGGTCATCTTTGTATTTATCTTAATTATTATAACTACATTTAGTAAAGTTATTATCCTCCATTACTGCAAAATTGTTTGACACTTTTTTCAACTTTTACAATTCTAATAGAATTACAAAAAATGTGTGTGTGTGAGAGAGAGAGAGAGAAAGAGGGGGGGAAATGCCATATTCACACATGTGCATGCATTCATGCATGGCATAATCTGAATAACATACAATTTAGCATTCTAATTTTACCTAAGTTTTTTAACACAGGCAGGAAATTATGGTATATGCAAAAAATCACAAACTTTTATTTTTACTAAGGCTCTCCACTACTGTTGCAACTTTAAACCTCTGTATCTTATTCCATAATTCCTGAAATGATTTCTTTTAATAGTCTTTCCAGGGAAGAGAGCAACAGTTGGTTATCAAATAGCAAATAATCATCCCTGAAAACACACATACAAATAACATTATACAGACTGAGCAAGTGATATCTCAGACTATATTTGTATACGTATATACACATAATAACAATTTATCAAAAAGAGGCTATGAATTTATAAAGAACAAGGGGTGATCTATGGGAGTGTTTTGAGGGGGAAGTAGGAAATAAGAAATCATGTAATTATATTATAATCTCAAAATCATGGGAAAACACAATTTCATTCAATGTAGTTTAGTCATATTCACTCCTCTCACCCAGGTCTTCAAAGATTTAGCACCTTGTCCTTTACCTGCCCAAGCTTTGTCCTGTTTTTCTGTTAATAAACATCAGAATCCAATTTGTGCTGGAGATAAAAGTTATGAACACATACATGTAAATTCACAAATGACATGTGCTTATATTATGACAATTTTAACAACTGTCACTTTCCCCACCTGTAATGTTTTACTTACATAGTAGTCAAAATGGCCAGATAAAATGTAGGCATGTTGATAGTATTTAATGTCTGCGGTTGTAATCAAATGCAATACTTTAAAGGGTCAGTAGGGTTCTTAGTGCCCATTTCCCTGACTAACCATGTGGACATATCTTCAGTGTCAGATTAACTTCCGTGCCCCAAATACAGAGCCTAATTTTAGTTACCCAAGTGGACTGCATCAATTTCTCTCACTTAAATCTTTGAAAATGCTTGTCTGACTTTGTAGTAAAGTCTTGTGGCCCCTTGTTCCAGGCCAACCTAAGACACCTTCTTCACATGGTGACTTAACTGCTCAAAGAAATTCTCAAATTCCTGACTATTCCCTATTATAAAGACTTCTCAACCTTTCATTCTTGCCAAGAATAATACATGACCTTATGCAACTGCTCAAGAAGTGTTAGTAATGAACATTCCCCCCTCCCCCTTGTCACAATTCTATTACTACATAAGCCATCTTGCCATCCTTATATGTGATCAGGAAGAATAGTACAATACATGGATGTCATTGTATTTTATATGAGAGAAAATGATGTGACTAAAAGGATTAGGATATTAGGGCTACATCTCTAGGTGACACTACCAAGGGATTATGGATAGATCCTTGGTATACTTACAGCAATTGTATTTATTACCCTGGTGTTTGGTGTAACCTGTCACTGAATGCTAAATTTATGTCATTCTCAAATTAGATCACTTGGGGAGCCACAAGAAGAATATGGCAGTTATATTGGCCATGTTAACAAAAATCCAGAATACTTTATTTTGTGTTAGATCATATGTGAATACTTGAGAGCTTGCAAATCTCATAATTTAATGTAAAACATGACTCTCCATGGGTTCTTTGCGCCTAAGTTTGAGAAGATCACAAGCCCTTTGGCTTCCCATTCCATCTACTATAGTTTTCTTTGCCTTTCAATGGCCCTTTCCTCTCAAATCTCCAAGGTAATTCTTAAATCCTTGGAACCTTATTATCCCTGGAGAAAACATAGTTTGGATCTCTTTGTAGAGTAAGATAGAGGTTGTATTATATATGTCATTCACTAATTAACTTCCTTTTAAAAAGAAACAAGGGGGGAATAAATGATTTACAGAATGCCAAGAATTCAACCAATGACATGTTTTTTGTAGCAAAGAATTATTCTCTGATGGAAACACCAGTAACCTTTAGTATCCACCTTGTTCTTTAACCCCCTCTATTGTCACAGACCCTTGTTCTGTTCTGCCTCAGACTCATGAGCCTTTGGCTTCCCTGGCTTCCATGTCTCACTACAAAGTATCTAACATTTTTCCCATTGCTACTGCTCTAAATTCTTCCCAATCCAAACAACTCATTTTCTTTTCAGAACTAGTCAATTCAGTATCTCACAGGAAAGGTGTGGGGAGGCAGGAGCTT